TTGTTACATTTATTAATTTGTATTTTATTCTATTTATTTCTTTTAAATTTTGTTAATTAAATTTGAAAATTAATAAAATTTCCTATATTTATTTTATCTGCAAAGTTAACATTATTTGATTGTGTTAGCTACTCCAGGCTACACTCCTCCTCAGGCTAACTTTGATGGAGAGCGTGCTGAAGGGATGATACCCTCTTCTTCAAGTGCTCTGTCAAAGAAAGGAAAGAAGGGTAAGTCTGCTGGAGATATCGGCAAACTGATTTGTGCTATAGATAGGGTCAGTCCTTCACTGTTTGTGTGTGGGTGTGTAGAGTCATCTGGGAGGAAGAGGAAGGCTTCAGCAAGTAAGAACTCCTCAGGAGACAAATCACAGCTGGAAGTGGCCACAGAGGCAGAGGATTCCCAACAGGTAAAGACCATATTTATTTCATGTCCATTGGTTAACAGACATTTGTATAAACATCTGGTAAAGTGGACTGTAACACCATACTGTTTGAGATGAAGAATAAATGGACAATATGGTACTCTTTTGTATATTTTACTTCAATACATTAAGATTTTACTATGGTGTCAGCTGGATTTTAATTTAAAGCTCTTACAACAACTGACAATTGTTTGTTGTGGCAGGATCATCCAGAGAAAGAGAACGAGAAGGAGAAAGAAAAGGATGCCAAATCAGGAGTCAGTCTGTCCTCGTACTGGCCGTTCTTCAGAGAACTTGATGTTGAAGCTCTGAGTGTGCTTCAGTGTGGCCTTCTGTCCCGGACACTGTTGGACACTGAGCTACATAGTAAGGTAAAACGAGTCTGTTTGCTGGTCAGTTCTCAGTAAAAGTACATACTTGAATTAAATGAGTGCTGTTTTGTGTGTAGTTAAGGGAGGAAGTGCAGTTGGGCCCTGCAGAGTTGCTTTTCCTGCTGGAGGACATGTGGCGTAAACTGGACTTCAGTTTGGCTTCTGCACCAGCCAAAAAGGCTCCATTTCTTAAAGTATGAAAACACACACATTACTAAACCTGTTTTACCCAGTCAAACATGTTATTTGACAATGCTGAAGCAACATTCTAATCAACTGATCAGATATTATTTTATCTAAATAATTTAAAAAAATAAAACACTAAAAACTAAAATTATTCATTTTAATTAACGCTGTTAAATGTAACCTTTAGCAAATCACAAAATATTAATTTTTATGCTTTACACTGAAATGATGACAAAATTAATGCTTTATATTAATAATAATGCAATAATGCAAAGTTTATTTAGTAATGAAAAGTTTGGCATTATTATAATGTAATTAAATAGTTCACGATTAATTGTAATCTTTAGCAAATTGTACTGTAAATTCACTTAATTTTGGCATCATTATAACTTAATAGTTTAATAACGGGTAAATTAAATCTGTATTTTGCTTTTATTAAGTGCTTTTTGATGGCTTAATAGTACAATATAAAAAGGAATATTTTTAGGAATACATTTAACAGTGTTATTAAAATAAATGAATGTTTTTAAATATAAACTTTAATGAATGTTTGGTGACAGCAAAACTAATCTAAATGTAAAATAAACATGCCAGATAAATTACAAATGAATTACAAAACATCTCCAATATCAGCTGACAACCAATATGGTACTGAAATGTTTTCTGTGGTGTCTATCTAAGAGTAAGATGGACAAAGCAGTTGGCTTTGCTCACTTGCAGCAGAAAAATGCCAAAGAGATCGCCACCTGCTGCACTGAGCTGCTGCCCACACTTTGCACACACCTGGAGAACTGCCACAATCACTTTCAGGTGCACGTGTTTCCATTTATAGCCTTGTAAACATGTTAATTACGTGTGCATTAGTGCTGGCTGGCACGTTTGGATTTATTGCTCTGTTTGAACGCTTGTCCTCACACAGACTCTGCTGTCTGAGCATCAGGGTGTTGTTGATGCTCCTGGTGTGGATGTGAAGGAACAGCAACTCCTGTGTTCAGCCTATCAGCTCCTACTGCAAGTGCTACATACTACGTTCAGCTGGTGAGCACGAAATAGTTAGTTGTTAGTTGACTTTCCTGACAACTACAAAACATTCTTACCATCTTCAATCACCTGCTGTTCATTCAGGGCTGGATTTTCTGGTCTAGAGCATCGTGCTCTGCTGAAGAGCGCTCTGGGGGTCCTGGCCGGCCGACTGAAGGAGGACGAGACCGATTTGACCCTGGATCAGCTCAGCAGGTGGGAGCGTCAGTGCACATACTTCTTACTTGCTGTTAGTGGACAATATGCAATGTAACCATCTCTACATTGTGTTTTATATGCCCAGGCACGCTTTTGAGTACCTGCAGAACTTCCAAAGCACAGTGCCCAGCCTGAACACTGCCTTGTGTCTGACCCAGCTGCTCATTGTGCTGTCCCAGTATGGAGGATCAAACCACAGGACCTACAGAGAACAGATCAGTGCGTTTCCAGTACTGTATGCTGTGTAATAATGGTTGCTCTCTGTAATACATTAATTTTGAGTGCTATCATTTCCCCCAGCATCCCTGGCGAGGCGTTTCCTCTGTCAGGAGTGGGTTACAGCGAGTGGAGAGAAAGAGCGAGGAAACAAATACAATGATGCTCTTCAAACTCTACTCAGGTATGTTGTGAGTTACACACAATAATGCTTAAGTTTCCATTCAGTTCCAGGAGTCATTGAGGCGGTGTTGTTATTGTTAACGAAAACTACTAAAAATCATTTTCAGTGATTAAAATAAGCTGAATTAAGAGTAAATCAAAATTTAAAGCTTAATTAAAATTGTGTAGAAATATAAAATAAAAATATAAAAATGACAAAAGCACAAAAACAAAATTGCTAAAACTTAATTAAAATTAAAACCAAAAAATATCATGGGGACCGTGTTTCAGTTCCGTAATAGTATATAAAGAATACTAAAATAACACTGAAGGGATAAGGCGATAAGGGTATTAAGACCCATGGATACGAGATTCTATTTGATAGAGGACAGAGCAATAAGTCCATAAAATGATTTATATGCTTCATGAGTCTCGTTACATTCATTAATCCTCACTTGATGTTAGAAATAGTTTAATTCCTGCATTATACACAAAGACAGAATTAAATAAATGAAATATTCATACTGATCTTCCAACTCTAATATAATTATTATTATAATAATATATTATTTTACTAATTGAAATATTAAAGATTTATGACATTTATAACATCACATAAATATTTAATGTTTAGGGAAAAAATCACCTGGAAAGCCTATTCTCAGTTTTGCTGAAAACTACACAAAATCTGAATCATATCATATCAAAGCAAACCACATTTTATGACTGTTTTACTCTCTATTTGATCAAAAACAAATCTTACCCACTCTGAACTTTTGAACAGGATGGGCCTATCCAAAATATGCCCTAATTAATATACTCAAAAGAATGCAAGAATAAAATAACTTGAACTAAAATGCCATGCTTTAATATTATTGTTCATATCTGAGGATGTTTAAATCAATTTGTTTTTCCCGCTGTAGTATTTATCTGGAGCACACTGATGATGTTCTGAAGGCGGTGGAGGAAATAGCAGGTGAAGGGGTTCCAGAGCTGTTGAATGCTGCTAAAGATGCTAACTCGCGCAGCTGGCCAACACTTAACAGGTACAGCAGGCTACCATATCAAATTAATAATTACATGTACATGACATATTAATACCAAAATATTTGACAACTCGGCGTTGCATTTGTCCAATCAGAATCGGGTATTCCATAGAGCCGTGTAATAAATGCAGATATCTGTGCTTTGCTTGACACTGCAGGCAGACGTTCCTGGTATACTACAAGAGCATGATGGCAGAGCTGGAGAGAGCTGTGCGCAAGATTCCTCACAGCAAACAGACGGATAATCAAGAGGTGTGTGTTTGTTTGTTGTGTGGCTGTAGATATTATTTCATTATTATTTGGGTACCAACAGGAAGTGTAAGGAAAGTGTGTCTCACTCTCAAGTTTATGCCCTAAATCTATTCAGGTGCAGAGCGAGAAGCTCTTAACATGGAATCTGGCTGTGCGTGACTTCCACATCCTCATAAACCTGGTCAAGGTACAGAGGCCTTCACATCTTTCCTGTTCTCCCAGTGTGCACATCACATTTTTGGCTCTGTAAACAGCATGTTCTTCTGTTTTCTATGGCACAGATGTTTGACAGCAGACCTGTACTCACTGTGTGTTTAAAGGTAAGAAGCATTTGCACACATGAAGGTATGTTTATGAAGATAATGCCATTCAACACTTGTTTTCTCTTTGTTTTTGATCATCTCGTTCAGTATGGTCGTCTTTTTCTGGAGTCCTTCCTCAAACTTGGAATGCCTCTGCTCGATTATAGCTTTAAAAAACACAAGGTATTTCTGTCTCATTCATCAAAATGTATGTGTAACGTTGCATCTTGAGCAAAATGGATCTGTTTAGTAACATGAGATTTTAATCATTGCACGGGATCTTCTCAGGAGGATGTTCAAAGTTTGCTGAAGACCATCCAGCTCAGTACTAGACAACTCCACCACATGTGTGGCCACTCAAAGGTGAATTACAGCATCTGTGGAGCAAGAGTGGGATTGAAGATTAAAATGAGAAAACTGCTAAATAAATTTAGCTTATTGATGTTAAAAGCATTTGTGAAACATAATCTCTGTAATTATTATTATTATCACTGTTTTACGGTTCACAGATTAGGCAAGATACAGGGCTGACCAATCACGTTCCAGCCTTGAAGAAAAATCTGGAGCAGTTTGTGTATCGTGTGAAAGCCATGCTCACTCTTAACCATTGCCAGGAAGCCTTCTGGCTGGGGAACCTGAAGAACAGAGACTTAAAGGTGAGATGGAAAAATGTGGCAAAGCCACATCACTAAAAACAAATCCACTATAAGGATGCAACTACTTCAGTAGTTTTTACTTGCCCTGGTGACATTGTCAGTTATTTTTGCTGCATATTTTTAAATTGTCAGAAGAATATCCATTTTTATTATATATTATGTTTGTTTCACAAATTTTTACAGTTTTATATATATATATATATATATATATATATAT